CCGTGATCAAACATTTCTCTTTAATATTAGTGACGCACGTGTATACTTGCCCAGAAAAAAATAAGAAAAACGTTTTAAGGCTCGGTAATTTATCTACGCCCGGCCTTCTAGGAGTCAGTAGTTCTCTGTGTTTTGAATTAAATTTTGCTTCTAAGATCCAGTAAAAATTATGTCTAGCAAAAAAAGGCTAAAAAAGTAACTATCATTCTCTTGTTCTGCATTTTAACACACCCTTACATTAATTGGCAGCGGCTAAAAATTACCACAAAGAATCATAAGAGTAGTGGATATTGTCTTGAATGAGAACCATATTAGTAATCAGCATGTTAACAGACCATTGTTCACTAATTTCTAATTTAAAGCGAAAAAAATCGATGGATTGGTGAAGAAATTGATAAATCTTTGAGTGGTCATTAAAGTAATCAGCATATCATCCATTACAGTTCTCAGCTCCTCAAAGGGATAAATGCGAAAAGTCGTAAATATTTATTGATGAATCTTTTAGAGACCATTTTCCTAATCTGCATATCAAGTCATTCCGGTAAACCAGTCCCCAGCGCGTTCGAACAAAAACTGCAAAAAATCAAACAGTAGACTTAGTCTATAAATTTTCAAGTATACATCACCATACTTAATACCTTTTAGCTATACGTACTAAATTAGAAACACATGTCCTTTGTTGTCGAGTAAACAACATCGTGTATTTCACTATTCCAAAACTTCGTTGAAATATATGACTATTACTCAATGATAAAATATCACAAAATTGTAAGAAGCTAACTATGCTTGTTCAGCCAGGCGCGAAAGAACAATGGATCTCGCCGCGATTACTGCATTTCTTACGGCTAACTGTGGATGCCGATCACCAGCATAGTTCTAGAAGCACATTTTTTGCCCATGTAAGCCTACTTCCACCATCATGAAGGCAACAAGTTGCAACTTGAAAGGTTATTTAAGATTATTTAGCACCTACTCAGAGTTGGCAAGCATCTGCTCTGCAAAGGAAAAATGACTTCTGGCACGTGGTAGGATTTGTAATAAAGGTACATTTAGGTGAACAAATTTCATATCTGATAATCGTTCGCTCTGATTACATTTCAAGGGGGAAGCAAAATCATGCTCAGGTAAGTTCTGGGTATTTGTCTTTTCAACTCACGTTCCTAAACGGCACTGCCTTGTCACAACTCGATCCGATATCTTCCGCATGTCCGTTTCTCCACGTTTCCACTGACATTGGCACTTTAAGGTTCATGGCAATAAGATCATACCATAAATCTAAACTATAAGTCGAAGGATTAATATTTTAGAGCAATTCTAACTTACCTTTACCAAACGTTTTAGATTTTGAGAATGCCTTCAGCTTTTTACCGCCTGAAGTTTGCATTCCACCAATTGTCGTATTAGTGACCGGAGAAAGGCGATGTTTGCGATCAACAACGCGAGCAAGGGATGGGGCTCTTAAATATTGAAATTGTTGAAATGACTGGTTGTTTGAGTGTTGGGTCATACTGACATATTCTTAAAATATTCTGGCAAATTTTTCTTGTATACATTAACTTGAGCACATAGCATATATTGGGCAACATCTTCCAGAAATTTTGAGCTGAGAGAGAGGCAGAAGAACGATTGGCCATTTCTAAGTCCTGCTTTAGGGTAGCGGTACTTGCCTAAAAACGGCATCAAATGCATAAGGCCTCCAATTACGACCCATTTTAATAGAGTTTTCAAAATACAGTGGTTTCAATAACATCGAGGTAAACGTCAAACGCTTTTGGAGTCAAATATTGCATCATTCATATCTTTTAAAAATGATGGCCACAGGCAAAAAGTATAGGAAGCTTTTGCCGTAGTCGACCACCTTATCACCACTTTGCCGGGTAGTGCTGAATCAAATGAACAAAAACTCTCACATACCTGCAGAATTGCTCTTATGCCTTTGAAAGAATGCAGTAAATTGCACACTGCTCTGTATTTTCACGAAACAACATAAGAAGCTTACTAATCAAAGTTGTTGTGTAGTAAAGGTTCTAC